AGCAGTCAGGTGATTACTCAGCCAAAAATGAAATGAAAAACAAAAAAAAAAACACAGAGAAACAGAAAAAAACAAAAAACGATTTTAAAAATTTTTGGCATTGATTGGTTGCTGAAGAAGCGGAATGGAGCAAAATGACTGAGTTCAAGGCAGCTTCCGATTCACCTATGATCGCTCTGTTGTGCGTTTCGCCATCGATTTCACGCGCGTAAAATCAATAGCCATTCCGGTCTTGTTGACTGGAGAATAGGTGTAAGTGACGCATCAAAGAAATACGCTCGTTAAATGGGCGTATCTATTTTTGGGAAAAAATAATAACTTAAGCAAGTAAAGCTGTAAAAACAACAAAATTACTTGAATCGATAGCATGGCATAAATCGATGATAAAATTATACTAAGTACTTTCGCCCTTCTTTACTTCAAGGTTATTACTGATTGAGCTAGATCATACTGCTACTGAACACATAACTACTCAGAGGAAATTCTTTCTCCGAATTTGACGTTTTGATCTTTAGCAAACCTCGGCCGTCATCGGTATCTTTTGTAAACACAACAGGTTATGCAGTACTGTCGCATAGAGTGGTGAGTTTATTGAAGAAATGGAGAGATCTGGAAATGTGGGAGCATTTTCTGATTTCAGGCCTCGTCACTTACGGGTTCATTACGAGTGTCTTTCAAATTTCAAACTCTCATTGGTAATGCCTTATTGTTAGCCTCATATTCTGCCGACAAAGACACCTCGCTCGTCATTGAATTAGTGAATGCTAGGTTTGTTCAAATAGTTGTGTTTGATTTGTTTTGTTTAAACTACTTGTTTGTTCATTAGATGATGTAGTGGCTATTAGGAACAATCTCCCGGTTCAGGCGATGTGATCAATTCGCTCATGGCCTAAGAATCCTTTCATTTTCAGCATGGGATCGGCTTTAGTTGTCAAACTTGATCGATAAAATAAAAATTGTTGTTCTACCGACTTTAATGGATCCCATCTTTGTATGCCCCTAAACAGATACGATCCTGTTGTTTTTTTGCCCTGCAGAAGGTTACTCCGTATTGAAAAACTGTAGAACACGAATCAATAGAAAAGGGATTCAATCTTGTCGGTCGATTAAGCGGAATATCGAGCTCCTAACCGAGAATCTTGCCAGTTTTTCTCAAAAATGGTAATAACGATGTGTTTTTAACTTGCCTTTATTTCAGGATAAGATTTACTTATAAAGAAGCTAGTACAGTAATGCTGATCGAGTCGCCAGTGTTGCCGAATAGGCAGCATTTAAGTGACATGAGATGGCACACCCTGCTTTACTATCAGGTCGGTTACTGAAGGAGCATTGGAAATGTGTCTAGTTAGCAAATTTATTCAAGCAATTATTTTTAAATCACGTGTTCTCGAATGCCATAGATGTAGTGCTGAATTGTCTCGAGAATTGCATACTACCTTTTAAAAAAATCTTTACAATGAACTCTCTTCAAATTGACATCACAAAATTGATTTTCAAAAAAGTAACTGAAAATAATTTAGCCATCCGATTTTGAACTGGGATAAGATCAGTCACTTTGGTTTTAGGAAGATCGAACTGGTCTGCAGATGTTACTGGTGGATAACACTACTGCCATTTCTGATAATGCCATGGAGCCGGTACTGGGAACTGTCATTACAATCGGTGAGTTTTACGGTTTACAGTTACTGTCATTGTATGACCGTCTCTATGAGAGCACTTCCCATAACAGCGAAGAAGATGCCAATGAAAACAAACTGGTCAGCCAAGAATAGGTTGAAAGATGGGGTCAGATGGATTTGTGAGCCAACTGCACGGCTTTTCCTGATACTCAGTTTTTTATCATTTTCTACAGGCCTCACTGGGATTCTGGCAATTTTTTAAATTCAGGTAGTGCCATAGTATGGAAAAACGGGGGTTTTATCTACGATAGAGCGGTTGCTAGCAACGATGATAGTGATATTGATCAGTGATCCTATTTTGATGATTGAACTACCCATTTGAGGAAGAGTGCTTTTAGTGGACCCCAGTCTGGGATAGGTGAATCAGAGGGAGCTAGATGGGACCCGTAAGCCAACTGTATGAGCTCATATTGCGGGTAATAGACAAAGTGCGGATGAGCAATTAGACGCACCTTTCCGTGGCACCGATCTGCACCTTCAACTCCTTTTGTCGCGTTGGCGACTGATTTCGAGTTCAGGAGGAGCCCCAGTCTCAGCTCCGTTGGTTCGAGGCGGTTTTCGTGGATGCCTGGCTGCCCTCCGGATTAACGACCGCTTGATCGACGTCATCGATGACTGCGATGTGAAGAAGGACGTTGTTCAGGGCTGTGCTGGTGCGTTCTCGCACTCTGAGTTTTACTTGCAAAAATAAGGTTTTTCCGTCCAGGACCGCTTGCTCGATGCTCGCCCGCTGCCTGTTCGAATCGTGGCCGATGTATTCAGCAGTGGAACTCGATCCGATGTGACTGCACGTTGACAGCTCACGCTGGAGACCGATGCCAAGATCGTGAGCACTTCCTCAGAACAATTCTATGTACATTTCGAACTTAACAGCCAGCTTTCTTTTAACAACTGGTATATCCTTCCCCCGCCCGATATAGGAAATGCGAGAAATATGAAAGTTTGCGCATTCGGTTACAAAGAAATCTTCTTGAAAGCCATATATAATCCGAGCAACTGCCTTCAGGTTTCGAAGAGACTGGAACGTGAGCGTCTGAGCTCCAGAAGCCATGGAGATTCATCAGTTATACATATAGTTGAACATTTGATAGTGTATTAAGTCTTGATATACAGAAAGGGTGGAGCCGAATTCTCTAAGCAGTTCCGTTCTCTAAGCATTCAAATTAAACTAATATTTCCTGGGGTTAGTCGAAATTTTAATCACCTTCTCATCCGGTGTCTAAAGATCATTAACAAATTTTTTACTGGAATTTCGCTCGTCCAATTATCGCTTCAGCTGCTACCACCGCCTCATTCTCGGCTCCCTCTACGATATACTTTGAATATCCGGTGAACGACCGTCCATCCACTTCACGAGATTACATGCTACTTGCATTTCGTACAACTCGTCCGAATGGTGTGCTGTTATCGATTGATTGCGCAGTGGATCAGGACTATTTCACAGTATACATCGTGGGTTTGCTTTTATAACATCATTACTTAAATTGTGTCCATCTGAATTTATTTACAGGATGAAGGATTTTTGCAAGTGAAGTACAACCTGGGGAGTCGAGAACACCACTTTGGACATTTCGCCCATAAGCTTAGCGATGGGAAAAAGCATACGGTCAGGTAAGTACTTCAGCACTTCACAGTCCGAAAACCTCTTTTTTACCCAACCAGTCAATTTCAGAATTCATCGAAATGAAGCGAATGTCACGTTGCAAATCGACGGTCGGCCGGCCATTCGATATCGACCCAAAGGTTTGTATGGTGATCCTTTCCTTTATGTAGTAAAGTTTCACTATTAAGGATGTGAAGAAACATGGTTTTATTGATATAAAAATACAGAGTGCCTGAAAATTATTGGCGCAAATAAGAGAAATTGTTCTCAAAATTACATGCTACCTATTATCTGTGAAATATTTATTACAGTAAAACGGAAATGCAAAAATATTGAAATATATGAACAAGAATAAGAGCCAATAAAAATAACCCACTAAAAATTTCGAAGGATTCCGACCGTGGAATCGCAGTGATTCGCTTTGCCAGTTTTCTTTAGTCATTCTGTATTTATTCATTTTGATAGATTGGAGCAAATTTGGAAATATTCCGGAAAATACTTATGAATTAATCTGCCAGAGAAGGTTCTTGCAATATGAATTGCCAAGAGAATGATAAACTCATGATTGCGATCTTACAACTCACTGGATGATGNTGAAAATTGTAGGAGTCGGGCTGGAATTTGTATGATTGGATTGATGTTGATTAGAGACGAAAAATGAGCGAGCAGCACTACTATGAACAAGGAGGTTGAAGAGGTTGCTCAGCTCAGACAGTGTACGATGGGTTTACATCCCATTTTAGAATCCTAATAAGAGCTGAATGCGTGTCAGACCTATCGATGACATTGGGAGCCTCCGATGTTCAATTCCATACTGAAGTAGCGATTCCATAAAACTGGTACCCACAAATGACGTGCAAAGTCCGAATGGATCTTCTCAGCCATTTCAAGATTTAGTCGAAATGTTCTAGCATCACTAATCTTAGAAAACCCAACTTTTCAATCATGTTGAACTGTTTTTGTGGCTTTTACTTAGCCATCTATCGAGAGTACTGATCGATAAGATTGATTTGTTACACTTCTCAGTGACCATCGAAACTTTTAAGGTTCGACTAGTTCAGGAACGGATGAACTGGTGACACTGAATATGCAGTGGAGAGTATCGCTTGGAGCTGCTCTCAACTCGAGGCATATCGATTCGGGCCCAGGACGGTATAAAAGGTTATTTTCGCTTCTGTTTATGCGATGTGTAGATGAAAGCGCTATGATCTCTCTGTTGAATCATCTATTTACTACCCATAACAGACACGCTCAGTCTCATGCCGCTATTAATGGTTTGATTTCACAACTGAGGATGATTTTTTTTCTAGCAATGAAGTATAGGGTCTCATAGGATGGACCTGGGCCTCAAAAATAGCACATGGGACACTGTGTGGTCGAAAAACGATCTAGATAAAGAGTAATCAGGGCTTCAAAACCGACTGGACTAAAGTGCACACCCAAAGTCGCCGTGTTGTGACAGTCCTGTTCATTTTGCATCAATTATAATGAACCGCACATGCTGAAAATTCAAACGGCTAGTGGTGACCCACGGCGACAGTGGAAGGCAACTATTAAAAAAAATTTGGCCAAGTGAAGCCTGCTCTACACAGTAGCATAGGACCGACAGCTTGTCTAAATACCCTTCCATGCCATCTTATTCTCGCACAAACCATTTCTTAACTTCTTTCTTGAAAGTTTCCTCATAGAACTCCGAAGATTTTTGTGTTTTCTCCGTCCCCTTTGCACTGTTTTGCACTATAACATCCAATACTTCACTTGAACTGAGAATTCCATAGTTATCGTGGACGGTGGCATTAAGTCTGCCCTTATGAAGTGCGTGTTTAGAAGTCGACGTCGAAAATCAGTGAAAATCATCGATCCATTTGTTGGCGAGATATCCGGAGTAAACTACAACGGCATCATGATACTCGACCTTCATGCCCAAGGTCAGTTACTCGGGCTCTAGACTTATAAATGTTTCCAGCTTGGAAAAGTCAAATCAGCCGGAAAAACAATTGGAAAAGAGGGCTTACTCATCCGGTAAAAAATCAGCATTTGCAGGAAACCGAAAAGTGTGCTCGAGTTTTCAGTCGTTCTAACTCGCTAAGCTTCCCTTGAGTGCCTCTTATTAAAGACTTCATCTCTTTGTTTAATTTCCTCTTCATTCGCCAAGGATAGCTCTTTTAAAGCGAAAGAATAACCGTAGAGGATGATTAGCTACCCGATAGGACGACGATTCATTGGAATCAGCCGTAGCGAATTGCAGTTCATACCCGTCAAATCATAGGCCTCTTATTTCGTAATTGCACCCTTTAACGGGCGCCCATTAGCGGCCCTAAGTGCCCATTCTGTCTAACAGCTCTCGACGAGTCCCCACATATCGTCCCCTTTACATAACGATGTCCAGCCTCTTAAACATTGCCTACATCTCGGGAAATCAGCGTCATATTCAGATGCTTTCAATTGCTCTTTCTTAAGAATCATTCATTGAATTTATTTGGGCTCTCTGCTCCCTTTACACTTTTTTTTTCCTATTGATACGTTTTGATAAGGCCCAAATTGATAGTAAACCCTGGAAGCAATCAGCATTAATCACTAGATTGTTCTATAGCCCTTTCCGTGAATTATGAACACTTTTGTGTGAATAGTTGTCCCTTACTTGCTTTTCCGTTTCAAATTTTCTGAAATTACTCACAACAGTGTTAAAAGCGGCCTTCCAGAGATTAAGAGGGCTTCTGCTACCTGCCTTCATTTATTGAAACAGTAGAAGACAGCCTATGATCTGTTCTGTAGTGTATAAAAAGACGAAAGAAAATGAAAAGTGGGTTGTTTCGCCTCCTTCTAGGCTATTCTGGGGCTCCTAAAAAGGAAGAAAGTAGAGAAACAAGCGTATGAATTTGCGAAGTATCACAAAAAAGCATGTTAATTAGTTGCGCATATAAATGAAGTACTTTTAACTGGTAGAACTTTTTTTCTGAGAGGAGAGCAAACTGCATCGCAAAAGTAGAAATGTATTCCTGAGAACTTACCACTTGATTCTGCTTACAAGATTGCGAGGTGTCACTCTTTTCGAAGGATTGGTGCTTCCTTTGGAGTTTACGTATAGTTCTGGAAGCAATAGCCGTAAGATGATGGTTTGATTGGAAATCTCTGTTGGTAAAACAATTCGATTTGTTCACTTGGAAAGTCCTGTGTTTTCTAAGAAAACCGTTAACTGTGGTGAGAAATGACCGACCTTTGAACTTCTTCGGTTCTAACATCGTTATCGCTGCTCTTAGTTCAGTAATTACACCGTAAGGTAAGAAAGTTCCTGAATGGAACAGTCTAGTGCAGCAAAAGGAAGGGTTAGGTGATGGCTCAAGAGGATTAAAGTATCGAAAAATCTTGCACCTCAATGACGAGGACAAGGAGCACCCAATATCTCCTGATTCATTAGTTTTTTCATGACTGCCCATGAATATTAAGCAAATATTCAAGATACCCGCTACTCTTTGTGAACTGTTCTGTGACTTCTTTTATTGCTGCTAGAAGAGAGAAAGTGTGGGAGAAGTGTGGGAGTCGACTAAAGCTTCACTGTTTATTTTTCTTTTTATCTGTTTATTAACAAGACTACGGGTTACTTCTTACGAGCTTTTTTTTTTTCTCAATATAACTATCGTCATAAAGCGTCACCGAACAGATCAAATTGTAGGAGTGATTCGTAGGCATTGTAATGACCGACATTCCCGACGTAAGTTTTTTAAATGGCGTCATTTCATCTTTTCCCGAATGGAAAATAAGCCCATGGCCGAGGCCATTTCAACGATTATATGCAGTTTTCCTATGACGGAATTCCCACGAAGAGTTTTCATTTCCATTCTTCAGAACAAAGAAGAAGGATCAGCGATGAACGTCAGATCAGGGAGGAGGCTGTTGAAGGAAGAGGGGTTCTCACAGAAGATTTCTTGGAACTCTGAAAATATTGAAAATTTTCTTGAGCCAACTCAAAGGCTGAGCTATGTGACACTCCAATTTACTGGATTACTTACCCAGCTGTGGATGTTATCACGTTATCCACGACTGTAATGCATTATAATAGGAGACGGTTGAAGTATTGAATCACGTGGGTTTCTGATTTAGGGCGGAGAAATTGACTTTCAATTTTGTAAAGGCAGTCTGAGATATATGGTTCATAAATATTTACGATGTTTACATCATAAGAAATGCAAAGACCACTCTGATTCCGTGATATAGCCAACCGTTGGAAACCACCTGCTCAGTTGAAAATCTTTACATTCCATCTGATGAACCAATTTCATTGAATTGAAAAGCATCTGACAAGTTATTGTGAACTTCTGCTCTTCGTTACAGAAGACAGATTTTTCTCGCTACTTGTGACTTTCTTGCCTTTTCAACCTTCGAGGAGCCTAGTTTGTTTTTTGAACATTTTGAAAGAAATCTTGCTGTAGTGGTTTTCGGTTTTGATCGTTGCCACTCCCCACAAGCTTGGCAATGATTACCACTGGTTAGGAGATTTCGGGCGCTTTCGCTTTGTGGGGGTATGGTTTAAACATACCTTCAGGGAAGGGTATTTTGGAGTTATAAATTCGAGAAGAGTACTTCGAATGACTCACTAATCTTCATTGAAACTTATGAACCTGTTAGTAGTTTGAATGCTGTGCTCATAAAACTAGCTCTTCAGCTATTTACCCAAAGCAGCATTTCCCTAGAACCTTTTTAAGAAGAGTATGCCATTTCTCAGACTCTTTCGGAGGGACTTTTTGCGCCGACAGCGTTCGGGTAGGGAACGTTACCGCGGCTGTCGCCTGGTTAATCCGCTCGTCTCAAGCGTGATTTCCTCTCCGTTCTCTTCATAATCCACTCAAAAGAACGGCCGAGGTTGAGGGGTGTTGTTTTTGCCAGTCAGCCACCCCCGGACAGCTTAGCCACTGACTAGCGCACGTCAAGCGGTCAGGCGTTTCTTCATGCCGAGACGTGGCCGTGGACGTCTTCCTATGCTTCTGAAACGTTCTGTCGGGAAAGGTGGATCCATTTTGGATTGCACCTCATAGTCTAGTTCCTGGAATGTACATATTACGCCCTAGGATATGTTAATTTGCCCTTTACAATTTTGATAATCTGCTCAACGGTCAATTTGCTGGGAGTAATTCCACTAGTCGGCCGACTGCGATGGGCTCCACCTCGCTGCAGTCGCCGCTCTCAGGAATGAACCCAATCAAGCGGATGTTAGCCCTTCCATTCAGACCAATACTCACTAGTCGCTTCATTCGTACCAATCGACAACACTTGTCTTGCCGGTAACTCAATCGTTTCTCACTCATTACAAGTACTCGTCACTACAGATTGTTTACCTCTACTGCATTTCAATCTACTATCGTGGAAATCTCATTTGAAACTTGGCTCCCTTAAGAATACTTGATTAGCGCGTTGATTCTTTATTATTTATAAAAAAGCTTCTAAATGGATGTGTCTTGTCTGACGTCTGATTCTGTCTCTCTGTCTGAGCCTTAGACACTTGCGAGGACTTTGTGGAAGTCTCCACAAATTCTAAAGGTCCGAACTCACTATTCGAACGTTAGAATTACTAGAAAAAAATCTTGTAATGATGGAAATGGAGCTTGATTTTTCTGAAAAAAAAACTTTGCAGAGGTCTCTACGTTGTTTGAGGCAATTAACCTAATTATTAATTTGAATATAGTCTTATCGTTATAATTATTATAACTTATTACTAATCATTACAATGCTATTATTCGTTCTTCTCCTTTCCGGTAAAATACGCTATTCTCCAATTTTGAGCCCATTCTCGCTCAAAAAGGAGGAAGTTCATTGTTTATCTAGAAAGCTAACGATTTTTTATGATTGCGTTTTTTCGTCATGGCACAGAACGTTTCGATGTTTTTTGAATCGAGCTTACCTGGGGTCAAACTAACCCTTTTCGATCATAAGCTCAGAAGGTTAATTCAAGGTCTTGAGAATGAAATCAGCCATTGCGTGCTGGTTCACATTGGTAAACTCCTGAAGGCCAGCCGCACATCCAAACCCAACCGCGATTGGGGTTGGAAGGCGAATACGTGGCGTGTACCAGGCCTATAGGAGCATTTTATTCGAAATTTTGATCCGGTCGGGCATGGAATTACTCATCGCGGAGAAGAAAAGTATATACCCTAATAGAGGTGTACAAATGGAAATAGTTGTAGAAGAGTAGGTTCGGAATGAAGGCGGTCCAGAAAGAGCTGAGCTATTTGGCATTCTATGTATATGCGTTAAAATGCATGATAAATGTTCTTTCAGAAACATCAATTCATAGCCAATCCTAATTTTCCATTGCGAATCTTATCGTTATCCTATTATAAGATAATTCAGAAAGAGCTCCTATAGAAGTAGTGAAGGAAGGGAGAAAGTGGTGGATTACTCCCTGGATTAAGAGAGCTCACTCTCTCTAGAACTTTGAATCTGTTTCTGTTTTCAACAAAAAGTTCAGAACCAGCTTCCGAAGCTGCAAATTTCGCCGTTCCACGCCTTTGGAACAACTTTTCTTTTGCTCAAAGATAACAGACCGTTTCTGCCATAAATCGTGAAGCGTAAGAGCCATTTTGTTTGAAAATTTTTGAAAATGCAATTGATTTGGACCTGTTAGAGAGCTGAGGTGACGTTTTTGCATTTTGCAGAGCTTTTGCGGAATTCCCAAATCTGGTTAATCGTAAAAATTTCGTTCAGGGTCTCGTATATCGCTGTCTCAGATTTCATGGCTGCTTCAAATGTCCATCATCGATGAGCCTCCTATCGAAGGCATAACATCTTGAGGCTTGAGGCAGTGAACGAGAATGTGCATTGCCCTTTGCCATTTCCCTCTCCACCCGAATCTATCAACTTGAGTAGAAAGGCTCGTCTGAGAGTGAGATGCTCTGCACTAGCCCCACCTTCCTCTCATTCGAACCTTTCTATCAGCGGTAGCCGAGGTTCCGCGCTCTTCAGTCCCCTTCCTCTTTAGCCCGCTATTTTTTCCGTCTCCTCAGCTCGTAATCCATTTCCATCTGTGAATCTCCTATGGCCCGTATTCAATTAGCCCCCCGCGTGAGAGCCGCTCTTCGTCTTTTCA